AAATCATGTCAACTATTAGGAATTTCTACTCTGCATACAATAAAATTAACTACAAATTCTTTTCATCCAAAGACTAATAAAGATTGACAAAGCAGTGCTGAGTTGGACATCTTTCGGTGACAGAAACAGAGAACTCTACTTATTTAGCTAGTGGCCATGACTATGGTTTTATCACTTAACGTGATCTTGTAATCAGACACAATGCAAGTTGACTGTATCTATCCATCTTCTGGTCCGTTTTAGATACCTGATCAACATTGAAGACATTTTTCTTTGATGTCTCAATAAAATAAGGCTTTGCAGACAAAGGAAGGTGAAGAAGGTTAAATTGGGATTGATTTTTTAAGATGCATTAATCATTTAATATTTAGCATTCTCCCACATCAATCTGTTGTGCACATGGCTCTTTCTCCAAGACTCCCAACATGTTCTAAAAAGATTCTCTGTACACATATTGGAAAACAGAATAAATTTAGGACTATCATAAGGTGGAGATCCCTTGACATCCTGCAGTACAAAGTAATTTGCCTTCTAAGAAACCTGAATTACTTTCTAATGTCTTCCCTTGAATACACACGGCAGCTGTGTTCATATTTTACTTTCAATTTAGTCAAGTAGCAAAGTGGTCATGTTAATCACTTAAGGAAACTGTACCATTCCTCATCATGGAAGACCTTTTTACTCCTTATCAAAACTTATTTTAAACTTTATGTTTTAATTCCATAATTAAGTTTTGTATTAGATGGTTTTAATACAGAAAAGAGATTAAGCACTGTGCTTTCCAGTTCAAACAGTTCGTAATGAGAAATATTATCTTTACTTCTACAGACTTTAGCTTTCACTTGCTTACTAATACAGTACTCTAAAGCAGTTTTTAAAGAATCTCAGTGCGCTGCATGGGAGCAAACAGAGAAATCTATCAGAAGTATTATCCAACAGTTTACAGGTATTGCAGGAGATTGCATGATCCAAACTTTGGTGATCATCTTGACAGCCAGAATCCGACTGTAATTATATCCACTAACATAAAATACACTATATTCACTTCTATTCTGGCAACCTCTCAAATACTTACCCAAAACACTCAGTTAACACTATTTAAACTTTTTCAGAGCAGCTCCACAGAGTCAAGAACATTTTTTCCCCTTGAAACATTGCATTTCTCCCTTCTTCACCCATTCTTTCCTAAATATAGACTAGCCTCTAGCCTTTTTTTCATTACTGTACACCCTATGGACGAAAGGATTCATTCCTCGTCTAAGTCAAAGTCAGAACTTCCATTTACTTTTAACGACGCAACTAAATGAACTCCAAGGCTAAAGTAAAGTCTCTCAACTACTAGAAGCATTGTCCAGAAGTCAAACAAAACAGGGCATTGCTTTCTTTTGGGGGGTTAACCTGTCTCTTTTTTTTTTTGCACTGCAAAATAAGCAACTATTAAATTTACACAGTGAAACAAAAGAATATGAAAGAATATAAAACAAACCATTCACAGAATTAACTTAATGACTTAAATACTACATTTTGAAGTGTACATCAATTTTGTACATATTCCTGACAACATTTTTATCCAACTATCATTAGCTTCTAAAGTTGCATTAAGGAGAAATAAAACAGGTGACTTTTCTTTTTAAATGGAATTGCAGCTGCAAATCTGTAGTGATAACAGAATGAACTTAAATTTTCTTCTTACCTGTTAAACTATATATATTAAGTATTCAATGTATGCTATTCTCAGAATGTGCGACTAATGGGGTGAAAAGTATATTTTGCATTCTCTGATCTGTTTTGTGTTTTTCTATTTAATCTAATTTCACATTAGCACAATATTCTTGTAGTTATACACACTTGCACACAGCCTGAATAAAATGATGCACAGATACTACTTGTCAGGGTTACAACTTGATCTTTCAAATCTCATATAAAAGCAAAGAATACAAATGTCATTGGCACTTGGTTTCAACAGAAACACAGCTGAATCTATCATTACCTGTAATAGGTATCCTTTGAAGAAAAGCTACACAAGCTAATAAATAAGTGATCAAAAATTTTTAACAATACTACGAAAAGTGTTAAAACTATTTATTTGCACAGTCGTCTTTACTGGATTCCCTTCATGGTGATCATAGTAAGCATGTCTTATTCCAGTAGATAAGTTCAACTTTCTCTGTAATCACCTCCTTGTAAAGCAATTTTTACAAGTACTCTGTACAAGATAAATACAGGGGGATGTGTTGTTCCATACAAAACCATTCCACATTTCCTTTTGTTCTTGCATTGCACCACCCTATATAAGAAAACATATCATGGCAACCATGACATGCTAGACGCATTTTACCTGGGAAGGTTGAAAAATGTTTTCCACTAATTTTGGAGAGAATGCTACTAAGGAAAATAATATTTTTAAAAAATTATGGTTATTGTTATCTTTAATACTCAGTTCTCATCCAGAAAACTCTATCTGTTTGGGGGAGGAGGGTCTAATTTTATTGCAAAACTGGCAATCATCTACTTTACTGACAGAAGACTTCCCCCCTCAAACTCCAACGGAACACAGACTGGAAAAAGGAAAAATAAAAGTAAATCCATACAGTATAGCATACCACATATTTGATTTTGGAGAGAACAACCAAATGCATAAATCACATCTTTAAAAAAAAAAAAAACCACAAACAAACAACAAACAACAACAACAAAACAAACCACAAACCAAACCTAAAAATTGCTTATTCTTATTTTTAGTGGAAGGCTTTTATTTAACTTCTAAGATGTAATAAAGTAGCTGTTAAAGATAATTAGTCCCAGAAGAAAGGGATATAGCATTGTAACATCCAAAAATGTTTTCAAGTATTTCTGAATATTGTGGAATTTTCACCATTAATACATACACCTCACAATTTCAGTAAATCCCAACAGACATTATTTCACAGACACAGTAAAACATAAAGTTTCGTATCTGGCAAACCACGAACAAGAGACTGGTGCAGATAGGTACATTGAGTAAAATACTGACTTATTTGCCCTAAACAAAAAAATACTCAAAAAAATAAACAAACCAACAAACACAACAACCCACAAGTGTTGAGTAATACATATAAAAATAATAATTATAACTACATTTTTTTCCAAAGCATTTTACTTTTAAAAAAAACCCAGTTAGTACCCCTGGCTTGAATCAGCTTAAAACACAGTCTGAGAAAACACCAAAAGGTAGTTTGCTTCAAGAATTTTTCAGATTAAAATGTAAAATTTTTATGTTGCTATTTTCAGAAGACTATCTGAAGACTCAGAAGACAAAAGTTTAATGCTCCACTGATACAATGCAAACTGAGAGGAAGGCTTCAAAACATGCTTTAATTCCAGTGTTCTTTCTACAAATTTGAAGCAGCTTGTTGATACACATCAATGCTGAACTGTTGTAAAATTACCAGATTTTGGTTATAGTAGAAGCAGAATGTTAGGGCACTGTGTTCTGAAACTTCTAACCATACAGCCCTCACTAGGTAATTATTGTTCTGTATCAAGGAACAAGTAGAACCACGATGAAACAGTGGAGAATAGAATAGAAAAGTTTTGTTTGAGTCTAGTAATTATAGAAACCTGCTATGCACCAGTGATGCTGCTTAGAGACCCCCCTTGCCCTTCCCATCTTGATTTAAATATCAAGAACCAAATCAATAGATGTTAACAGAAATAAACATTGATTATTTGGATATGGGTATTGATAATATATATATATATATATATAATCAAGGGACCAATCAATGAAAATCAAACCCGTAAAATGCATTTGGTAACAAAGTATAATCTGAACTAACTGTTGAACAACGTAGCTTTGAAGTACCTGTCAAGAGAATGATAAGTTGTTGGCCTGATTAGTAAACCAAGAAAATCTTCTGGAGGTTCCAAGATAAGAGGGGGGCAAGGCTCTGTGACCAAGCTGAGTACGTGCAAGGATCGGGTTTAACCAACGGACACAGTGAGGAAGACTATGGATGACCACCAGTGCACCTGAAGGCGCACGCATCTCAGACATTTACATATATTAATGAGGTCTCGGGAATTTTATGAATATGTTTATTATTTCTCGGAAATGTGATGAATATGTATATTTTGATTGTATATAATTTTCATAGTGGAGCAACTTGGTACGCACACTAGGTGGAGTCATCCTCTGTGTGTCCAGCACCATAATAAAGAGGTGCCTGCTTTCTAAACTTAAATTAAGGCTCAGAACGTTTGTTTCTGCTGATTTTGGTAACAGAACCACACCCTTATTTTGCAGAACAGTCTTTGGTAAGAAGTATTGTTAGATTTTGCTCAAATCACAGAACAGAACTGTGCTAAATGTTCCACATTGTGGCATTCTTAAACAAAGATTATTCAAGAAGGCTCATATAAACAAGTGAATCTCTTACACATATTCAACCAATGTCCCACAGAAAGAATGTTTCCATTTAAAAACAAGGAAAAAAAACATTTCTACTGTTAAGGAATCTTCCCTGACTATGTTCTTGCATAAGAATAGGTACTAACAATTCACCTTCTAGCAGAAATTCTGATGCTCTTTAGGAAATAGAACTTTAACATCACTTGGGAAATTTGTATTTATTCCATTATCTTCCAAAATTCAAATATTGTTTGGACAGCATATGGCGATTATAAACATAACAACCTCATTAAATTGTCAATAAGTGTGTAGATGAATACTGAAAAAAAATTAGAATCCACTAATACATATCCTCCACATTTACTTATGCTAATTCTCAGCTCTTTGTAAAGCATACAATTAATAGGGCATCAGCATGCGGGCAGATAGTTGTAATTATCTTCTCATGTTTCAGAAGGTATTTGAAAATCATTTAAGAGCAAAGGATGAATGGTGTTCCAGTAAATCCCCCTAAATCAATGTAGGGACACAACAGCAGTACAGGCAAACAGGCTGACAGAAGTCTGAACACCCACAAAGATGATAAAAAAATACTGTTCAATACAACTACTTACATCATGGCCTACGAGTTCTGTCTGTGTGGCTTTATCTGCTTGGGAAGCAAGAGACTTCTGAAAGCACTGAGCCTTTTCCTGTAAAACAAAATGAAATATCATAGGTAAGTCATGTTTTTCCTCACTGGGTTTTGCAGTTGCAAAGATCCAGATAAGTACAAAACTCGTGCACGGACAGCTGTTCAGAAATGGATTTATTATGGCACTATTCTCACTGGGAGGTTGATTTCCTTACTGTTATTTCCTTTTATCAACTTATCTTTGTCTTAGACAGTGGACTTAGAACGTCCAACTGCGCGGTAGAGCTGGGCCCACCAGAAGGATGTCACTCAAGTGTGATGCAAAGCAACCTTCTTCCAGGGCAGATACAGGTACAAAGCACTGAGCAGCAGTAGACACTCTTGCAAACACCAGCACCATTCCAACAGCAAAGAAACCAATTTCTTTAAGAAACATTAAGGAACATGCAAACTCCACCGCAGATCACAGCACTGAGACGACTTCCCCCTTGCCCAATGCAAAGTGTTAGCAAAGCCTAAACATTTCTTGGCTATTGTACTGATTTCTGCTTTTCCTATTCTTGTCCCTCTGTACCTCAGTCATTTTTGGAATAGTGGCAAGGAATCTCTGGAACAGGCTCGAGCAAAGAAATCTGGTTGCTTTGACACAATTATGCTTCACAAAAAAAGCCTTTTGATACTTCATTTGAAACTCATCATGGATTGGAAATGTTGATCCTCATCACGCCCTTACATATACTATTTTTTTTGTTCCAGGAGAAACTATACAATGAAATAACTGTAAATACGTGGGATAAAGCAGGAAGAGGCATCCAGGAGGGAAAGGCTCCATGAATAGAGACAACAAAGTCCGTTACTGCACTGATTTATGTTTTCCTATCTACCAATTTGGTTTTATGTTTCAGCTATATCCATACAAAATTCTTATCTTTGACTCAAATTCCTCAAGAACTACAAAAGTATGTTTTAGCGTTACTGACAGGTATGTATTACAGTAAAACAGAATTTGTGTAAATTGAATTTCAGGTTAATTGAATCTCAAGTTGAATGAATCTCAGTTTTTACTGAAATAAAGACATAGAAAGGTTATCATTTTCAGCTACTGAGTTGTGTTTTCCTTTATAAGTATCTGTTCTACATATTTTAAAAATCCACTGTTAGTCATTTCAAGCCAGGATGCACATCACTACCTTAAATGAATTTTGGCCAAAATCATGTAAACAGCGGGAAGAAGACAACACCTAAATGATCTTATCTCCACTATTTCAATTCTTCAAATGGGAAGGGGGGACACGGAATTCAGACCAATCGCTTCACTGGTATGAAGTGACTTGCACCCAAACTTGCTGACATAACTACTGAGTTAAAGCTGAATTCATAGCAAAGAATCTCATTTTTTACAGAAAAGCTTCATCTTCATGAGGTTTGAATTTACTAGTCCACTGCCCACAGCATTTTTACGTGTTTAGAAAACAGACATTGTTACAGATCTACTTTCTTATTTAGACAATAATGTTTTACTGCTCGGAAGTTCCATGAATTTTCTAGTTACAAACCGAGGCATTCACAGAGACTGAATTACAGTTGAACCAAATCCAGTATTAAACTGTGTATCTGATCAAATTTAACATATGCATACTTTCTCTGTGGATTCACAAATACATATTTTGAAGTAACTGGGGAAAAAAAAAAACACCTGAAGAAATCAAAAACTTCATTAAGGCAACCAATTAATTGGGAAAGCTAGGAAGGTTGGAATAATCAAATTCATTTATTTCTGGGAGCTGCTCATTTAACTGTGTTTATGCAGTGAGATCCATTTTCAACACATCCAAGTTCTGACCCCACATTATCATCTTTACCAGAAGCAGAAGTTAAAGATGTCCATGTTAACAAGTAGTATCTTCCCTTTATTCCACAAAAAGAGTACTTACAATTGTGTTGACGTGAAACAACCCTCATAATATGAAATAATTATTTTAAAAAGTATTAAAAATAATAAGAATATGGTGTATTTTATATTATTTCCAATGATGCAGCAAAAGTCTGCAAAAAGTTTAAAACCACGGTGGTAAGTATTTTCCATGCTGTAATATAGACAACTTATGGTTTGTTACAAAACAGCATCCTGCTGGAAAAGGCTACGTACACTTAATAGTCACTCAGCTTCATCTCAGTTATATTTCCAGGATTCTTCTTGCCAGTGTAAAGTAGTTGTTCCAAAAGACATACCTTTGTTTATGAAATAATTTTCATCATATTAAAGGTATTAGATACCAAAACCCTCTACAAAATGTTCTTTCCAAAATAAAACCACTTAAAATGATAAGCTGATACTTTAAACATAATTTTGTGCTGCATTGACTGTATCAACAGTCAGACATTATAATGAACTAATGTGACAAAATGCTGAAAAAAACATTGCTACGCAGTAATGTGAATTTTAGATCTATAAAATATAGCGTACTATATAAAGCAAGCTAAATGCAAAACTTCAATGTAACTATTTCTGTAAAAGCGTAGCAGATCTTCACACAAAAAATACATATTAAACCTACTTTATCCCCCCCCCCCCAAAAAAAAAAAGTATAACTGACACTTGTTTTTACTAGGTAATAAACTATTGTAAATATTTGGCAACATTTTCTAGATATTTACAACACACTTAGCTTTTGGCCATAGATTTACTGTTCCTATCACTGTACAGCACAGCATTTCAGATACAGATGCCAGTTCCCAGCTACAACCAAAAACCCTCTGCAGGGAAGTCATATTCTCCAAAGAACAAAGATTGCTTACAGGAGATGTGCACATTTGCCCAAACACTTTCTTTACAAAAATCTTACTCAGAATAGTCACTTTAAAAGAACTGATGTCCAGTTATCAATTAATTTTGCTTTTGCAAATGTGTTACCTAGTATGCTGTATGGTACGTCTGAGTCCGCGCAATTTCTTTGGTCTTTGGCATTGCAATAGACAATGAGCCAGCAGCGCTGCCACAAATGCAACAGCCTGTGGCTCTAAGCGAGAAGCAGTCTCAAAAGGTAGGCAATCTTTTTTATTGACGGTTTAATAAGCTAATACAAATGAGAAAGACTAACAAACTTCTAGGTGCCCAGATAGTGGAAAAGGACTTTTGGAACTAAAAAACTGTCCCTTTTCCTCAATTATAGCAAATCAGCCAAATAAAGATCTTTAGAAGCCAAGTAGCATACTATAACATTAATTCATAACAAAGAAATAAGTTATCTGGACATTATTTTCCTACAGCAGCCTTGAATTGCCATCACATCATTACTCCTACAGACAGTTACTATTCTAAATTAACATTTTAAAAGCAATTTTTCAAGTTCTGAAATTTCCTTGAGGTCTTTCTGCCATTTAAAAACACAAAAGTTATTTTCTTTCAGAGGCTTCCTAGTGAAATTGAATCGTTAGTGACATTTTCCCTATGTGACCCAGTATTCATACCATTAAATGCATATGCTGCATGCTACGACCACCTCCCTAAATACCCAAAAGCTTCTTCATAAGTCTATGTTGAAATGTAAAGATTTTGAGAAAGTCAAAATACAGTAGAAGGTGTTTCCTTAATGCCCCCATTTTTCTCGAGATATTCCATAGGATCACAGAATGTTAAATAGTCCCATGGTGCTGCTTTCTGCCCTTTCATTGCACGTATCTGAGAGAAGTCGGCTCCACCTTTCCTATAAAATATTAGGTAGCAAAAAGACTGCAAATAGATCTTCCCTTATCCTTCTTCTTATCCAGGTAAACACAACAGGTGCCTTTGCCTCTCTCTGTGATGTCAGATGCTCTGGCCCCTGAAGCATTGTATGGTCCACTGAAAGGAACCTCTCTGAAGACCAAGAAGGGGTTAGAATCATTTATTTTTGAGATATTTTTAGGATCAGACAAACAGAGTACTTCTGGATGACTTTTTAAAAATAGAGCACAAATGAACATCTTTTCTTACCCTTCTGTGTGTTGTTATTCCCTCTTATTAAAATAAATAGCATTATGACTACACTTGCAAGGTGACAGGGATAGGAGCACGAAAAATTCTCATTCCCTGGGTTCATCCTAATTAGCAAAAAGGCAAGAAGAGCTGTTGGCAATTTTTAAGTCAGATAACTCATGGCAACATTGCCAGTAATTTGCATTGCAACCCCTCTCTCTCACATATGTGTGTGCGTGTGAGAGTGTGTGCGTTGGGGGAAGAGAGAGAGAAACTATGTGGAAGGACATTTGCTGCATCATTTGTTGTTGCTTAAATTACTGAGATTACTAACAGAAGAATTTCAACAGCCCTAGTGAAAAGCATTAGACCATGATCAATAAAGCTATTCCTTCACATGGGAATAAGTTCACATGTAGTTCATATGTCAAACTACCTCTAGTACAAAAGTGTCTTTATTTATATACTTATTATGTCATTACTGTGTTTGCAATAAGTCACTGAGAGGTGCTGAAAGAGGAAGATAACAGGCATCAGCTGATCACATGCATGTAAAAACATTACAGATAAAGTAGGTAAACGAAATATAAGATGTAATAGCAAGTGAAAAACACGCTTTGTCTTCACAACTGAATGACAGGTACTTGACAAAAAGTGGAGTCAGTTGCTATCGGATTACATTATATTTAGGGAATCGGTATAGGTTACTACATCTTGAAATACATGACTGGCTTTTTACAGTGTTCCTTCTCTGAACAGAAGAGCCTTAAGATAATTTTCATAGCTTTGACTGTCAACAGGTCAAAGTTATCTTTTGTGACTGTTCTCTTACCCAATTCCCTATTACTGACAGCACGGTGACCACTTGTGGTGCTTTGTTTAATTGCAAATTCCAAAAAGAAAATGCTTGAAAAATACCTTGAATGGTCATACTAAATCAAACAGCAAAACTTATTGTTCCAGCTGTTTTGGACGAATAAGAAGTCTCTAAGCCAGCACAGCTATGGCTTCTATCACTAAAGAATCTAGTTGATAACATATTAAAGATATTTTTTTTTTCCTAACAGCTGTTTCACCTTTATTCTTAATTAGACTAAAAA